AGTTTGCAGAAAAGAGGCAAACTCACTCACACTTCAGGCCTTTATCTAAACTTCACTGTACAGTCAATTCAAATAACATATTTTAATCCAAATTAGTCAGACTTTGTCCTGGGCCTCAGGTAACACTATTTAAGAACCTAAATTTAGCTTGAATTTGTTTCTAACTGATGGATCATAAGTCAAAGCTATTGTCAATTCATCATGGCCATGAAACTGACAATAATAACCACGTCCATAAAACTACTGCCAAGGCTTTTAGAGACACCATTTTAGACACACTATAGACACACTGGACCTCATTTGACAATGTTCAACAAACTTCTGGCAAGGTTTAAACTAAAAACAAAAACTAAACTGAAAAACCCTGAACTTCTTCTCTCATAAACACAATCTCTGTGTGTCTCTATCTCTGACTCTACGTCTCTCTCACTTCTGTTTCTACGCGCCTCGCTCTATGACTCCATACGTCTCTCTCACTTCTGTTTCTACGCGCCTCGCTCTATGACTCTATATGTCTCACTGTCTCTGCTTCTACATTTTATCTGTATCTTTATCTCTGTCTCTATTTCTCTGTGTCTCTGTGTCTCCCTGTGTCTCTCTGTGTCTCTCTGTGTCTCTCTTCTAACGTAAAAATAAACTGAGTTTATTATTCTCAAAAGCGTTACCTTCGTGAACAATAAACTAAAACAAATTTAGAAATTTAAACCCTTCCAACACTATACTGTGATTCCGGAGCAAACCAACAATACAGCACAAAGAAGAAAAGATTTTAGTGAAATCTCACCCTTTTAGAAAGCCGGCATCTCTTTTCTCCAGTCTGCTGTACGCTGCTCTGCTTCCGTCTCAGATCGAGTCGCCAAAATGTGGCCCAAAGCCACCTAAAAATGTGTCGTCTTTAAAAACTGTTCTGACAGCCCAAAACTGCCGTCGTGACGCCAAAATGTTGCGTCATTGAACATGCTAAGAATTGAAAAATTTACTGTTACGTGACGCCAAAATGTTGTATCTTCTTCTCCGCAGAAGATGGGGTTTCCCGCACAAACCAGTATAGTGTTGGAGAAGGAATGCACTCTGAGTTATGTATTAAAGAAAGAGTTTAATGGCATAATCAGAATACATCAAGTCCAATTCAGGCTTAGCACTGTCAGCCTGGGTCAGCTCTGAGAATGAGGATGGTATGAATGACAAAGAACACATTCAGCACAGAGCTCTTATAGATGCGCAAGGGCAGGATGTCATAAATACTTGTCATTTAATAATCTTATAGACTAGTCCTGGTTAACTCAGTATCTCTGAATCTTTCTTCCCTGAGGATCTCACTACATGTGGTTTTACTGCAAATGGTAAATAAATCGAATCTATAGACTATTATTGTCCCTCCAGATGTCCTAAGACACAATTATAACCAAACATGCATCCACAAGACATACATGTGCAGTCTAATGGCACAGACGCTGCCGAGATGCAGCTGCGGGTTCTATTGTCTCCAACGTCACATTGGTCTTATGATTTAGATAAGTGACTTCCTGCCATTGCGTGCTCACATTATCCCAAACACAATTTTACACATATGAAGATACATACATACTTTGTTTATGTAGAATTAAAGAATATTAATAATAGCAGACACAACATATTAAAAAGCATTTTTATGAACTACTTAGAAAAAAAATCGGGTATAGCTTCTTTAACCAAGTTTCATTTTAAAGCAGGTATTATTTATTTGTAGCCTTCAAACACCTTTAGTTTTAGCAAACAACAGCAGGACATGCTTTGTCGCTGCGCATGATGTGAGCTGTGTTACGTGATGATTTTGATTGACGCTGCAATGACTGGGACAAAATTACAAACGTTATTAAAATATATTATAGTCTCCAAACACAATTTAACAAGTAGTCCTTTTGAATCAAATCAAATGCTAAATAAATATTTAAGGGCTTTATATTTGCTCAAAAAAAAAAAAAATCATCTTGCGACCCCCACTTTGGGAACCACTCTAGAGGACCAAGGGACAAGAAGGGGGGCTTAGAGTTGGGCGTGGTCTGGGCTGTGATTGACAGCTCGCTGACAGTTGTCATTGCTGGTTAAAGCAATAGTTTACCCACCAGAAAGCCTCATTCCACCCTTGTTTACATACTTAAATTATTGATGAGCTACAGGGATCTCCCAGTCACGTGACCCATAGCTGCGTGCCAGCCATTTTGACGGTATCCGTCCGCCGACTGCCCGGCATTGGAGCTAAGCTAGCTAGTTCAAAAACTCTTCGGAACTACATGAAAACTGAACAAAGAATTCAGAACATCAGTGGTGAGGAACTCATTTATATACCGAACCTAAATCCATAATCGGATCCTCTTCAAATGTAACCTCCGGGTTTATCCTGATCGCTTTTTGTTACATTAAAACAGTATTTGACATGAAAACGTCAACAAATAATTCTGAAAACTTCCTTGCATTTGTGTTAGGGATGTATATGTATACTGTATTCTCTGATTAACATTTAATGGTGTTGATTGATTAATATGTATTTGTTTGAGAGTGGCTAGCTCAGCTAGCTTCTCTGCACACTAGTAACAGGCACTGAAAGCTCGTTGTACTTTTATTTTTGTCATGAAAACATGTACAAATAATTCTGAAAACGTAGAGAGCACTACAATAAACACATTTATGCAGTTTTTGAGTAAAAAATTGTTTATTTGCCGTTTAGTCGCTCTTTAACTTCGACTTCAAAAGCGTCAGGTTTGCATTGATAGTGAATGGCGAAGCGCGTCGCTAGCTTCATAACACGCAAGCATTACGTGCTTCTTAATTGCTGGGTTGCACTCGATGTCACGCTGCAGCGCGAGAGTGCTCCGGGGAACAGGAAGTAAATCTCCCCATTAAGAACAATGTAAAAATGCACTCATTCAGATTCAAAATTCTCTTTTTCTGTGGCGTGTACAGTTGTGACAACTGCTCATATCAAGTGGGGAACTTATGGAGTCTCTATTTCGCAAAAAAATATTTGTTTTGATTTTTTTGGAAAATGCCTTAGAAGGAACAGAAGAAATGCATTAGCATTAGCCTGCGTAGCATCTGCGGCCGCAGACTGCCGGCAGTCCACAGTCTTTACTTAGCTGACGTTCATAGATACAATGCAGTATACGGTTGTAGTAACCAAGGGAAGAGAGAGAAAGAACTGTTAAAGACATGTTTTAATGTCAAAAGATGTCTCAAACCAACACATACATGTGTAACAAAGCTAATAGTAGGCTTTACAATTACTCTTCTCACATATATTCTAGCCATTGTGTTACAAGAGTCATTGTTCATCGTTATTTCCACAACTGGGATGGTGAGGACCAGGGTAATGTCTGAAGTTGTATCCAAGCTCCGTACCCACGGGACAGATGCGTTCATCGCAGCCCCCGCTGTTAGCTTACTGTTGTTAGCTTAACGCGCCAAGGAGCCCCCCGGAGCATAACAATTAACTGAAATGACAAAAGGGTCATATTTCTTGCCTCAAATGTTGTGAAAAGTAACATTTGTGCCCTATTAATTTTATTATTGATCAGAACTATCATCTCAGACGTGGTTCTGTTGATACAAGAGTGACGAGCTCCACTGTCGTCACTATAACAGCTGCTTAATCCTCCTCATTGTTGAAAACATTGGACTCATTCAAACTTTTCAAGGCGTACGCTGCATTGAAAATAGTTTTCACTCAAAATAAGTGACACTAAGCCACGAAAAGCTCCTGTAGCTGCGTTTTCCTGCATCGCCCATTCTATTTAATGTGGAAAAATACTTCCTGTCCTACGGCCTCATGCCACGCCCCCTTTTGGTCACGTGGTTGCAACCCAGCGATAGTAGGAGCGCCTATTATGCTAATTGGTGTATTCAAAACAAAACGCCAGAAGTTGACATTTTGTGACTTTTATTACTTACTTATAAATAAATAAAGAAAACAAAATTTACACTCATTTCAACATTTCTAAACCATAGCCCTTTCTGCTGCCCATAGGGATACATGGCGCAGGGGCGACTATTGTCATAGTAACCGTTTCCCGGGGTTTTTTGCGCCTTATAAAAATGTATCAATATTTTATTATTAGACTATAAAGGGGTTTGAGTATATTTTTATTTGGGAGTGAAAGAGAGGAAGAAGCCATTTTCTTCAGTATTTCTGAATTGAGAGTAGTACAAAATGAAAAGAGCTGCCAAGTACACGGTGGATGAAGCCCTTGCAATGCTTCAAGACAAGAACACAAGGTTCACCAAGAACGTAGATATGGAGAGCTCATGGTCAGATGATTGGGCTTTATTTTGTGTAAAAATATTGTATAATGAAAAAAGGCAAGCACAGAGGGGTAGCGGATACGGCTGGTAGGCACACGCAAATAGACAAGATTTACCCAAACATTTTCACATGGCAGGCCTGTAAATGTGTTATTTCTTCTTCCAGTGCGCAGACAGTACGTTGGAGACCAGGTCTGGATAGGACCACCTGCTCCAGAATCAGGTATAGGCCTGTAGCCTAATACGCAGTGCATGGACCAAGCAACCTACAAATAATAGCTAATGTGCTAATAATAGCACATCATGATACCATAAAGTGTTTAGACTATTTGTCCTAATTTTAATATTTGGTCCAATGCCTCGTAGGTCCTGAAGAGATGGGGAAAGACCAGAGCGTGTGGCTGTCTGTGCCACCAGGCAAAGGGCGCGGAATAAGACAATCTCAAAATATTCTGAGAGAAATTGCAGGCCCTACTGCATTTGCAAAACATGGGATCCACGACATAGAGTGCTCTCCTGTGCTTGGTTGATCCTCTGTTGCTCCAGCACATACGGGACTGCACAGTGGCTGAACCGCGTCGCTCTGGGGTACCGTGGGACCTCTCCATCCCAGAGCTCAAAGCTTTCATGGCGCTTCATATGTTAGGGGAAGTTTCAACAGGAATCTAGAGATGGAGAGTTTGTGGTCAGATCAGTGGGGGCTTCAATTTTTCAGAAGCACGATGCCTTGCAGGAGATACCGGGAGATGATGCGCTTCCTACGCTTTGACCGCAGAGAGGAGAGGCAGGCCCGACTCGCAATAGATAAGTTTGCCCTCATCACTGACGTGTGGAAGGATTCCAACTCTATCCGCTGCTACAGGCCAGGAGAAAATGTCACGGTGGATGAGCAGCTGTTTCCAACAAAAGCATGCTGCCGTTTCACTCTATTGGCCTATATGGCCAATAAACCCGACAAATTCGCAATCAAATTTTAGATAGCGGCAGATGTGGATTCCAAATATTTCCTCAATGGGATCCCTTATCTTGGGAAAGGTGGAGCACGGCCAGCTGGTCAGCGCTTGGGGGAGAGTGTAGTGCTCAAACCCATGGAGCCAATCATGGGCAAAGGCAGGAATGTCACCACTGACAACTTTTTCACCTCTTTATCCCTAGCCTGTGCCTGCTGGCGAGAAACACCAGCCTCGTTGGCGTCATGAATGCTGCACGCAGGGAGCTCCCGCCTTCAGCAACACAGCGCGCAGAGCTGCACAGCACCAAGGTGCCGAAGCATGAGCGTGCTACACTCACTGTGTACCAGGCAAAGATGAAAAAGGGTGTCTCCATCCCGAGGACTCTCCACCAGATGGTGCTTACAGGCACAGAGGGAAAGCGGAAGCATGAGACCATAACCTTTTACAATACCACAAAGGTAATTCTTATTTTTAGCCACTGCATGCAGCCTCCTATTACTTTGTGTTCTAACACCCCCCCCCCCAAAGTTTAGACTAGTCCCTGTACTCTACAGCTTGCCTTACTTCCTGGTCCTACCGGTGCAGTTGCCTCGTTTCCTGCTATTCGTTGGCTCCCAGGTAAATGTGTGAAAATGATGTATTTTATGCAATTTTTAAAGCGTTTATTTGTTTAAATGTAGTCCGTGGTGTGGCTGTGCTCCACGATGAAGCTCCAGGTCCGCGTGTGTCTCCAGTCTTGCCGCAACTCGAATGTTGTGGACCAGCCGTCATGGCCCCTCACAGAGTATCATTGCCCCCGTTCGGTAGCTGGGGAAGGCGGGTTCGGAGAGCGGCTGCCTTGTTTACTCTTGTTTTAATGAAAATGTGAAATGTAACAAAATATTTGATTTGTTCTCCTGTCAACAAAGAAAAGAACTGCTAAAATAAATGTGTTGAACGAAATTATGCCTTTTATTAATGCACTTGACCTGTTTCCTTTCATGGTTTTTGGTTCGAAATGTCAAAACTAAAGAACTAGTTGAACCACCCGGTTACATATAGTTTTACAAACGCGGTGTGAAGAGAAGAGACGCATGGAGGAATAACGTCTGTGGGAGCTTAAAACAACGATGATCAAAGAAGCAGGAGATATACGCAGCCGCGGCAGGACATTGCTAAAAGCTCATGTTAGCTTTAGCGTTAGCCACAGCGCTACATCTGCATCACAGTAAGAAAAACAGATCATTCACTTACGCTGCTGAAAAAGTATTCTGGCGATTGTTTTGTGGGGATTCTGTGTGTGTTTTTTTGAGGCTTGTCCTTGAATAAGTTTAGTTGAAACTTGTGACATAGTACTTGGATGACAGAACATCCTGAGAACGTTGCAGATTCTGCCTGTTCTCATTCAGTCATTGTGAAATAGTTACGTATTGTTCACATGTGAGTCTGTTGTGTACAAACAACACGATGTGCCTTAGTGATGTAAAGTTCGATTCATTTTACTGACTCGAGTTAAAGTGAATCACTCACCAAAGTGAATCGGGTGTTTTGAGTCATTTGATTCAGTGATTCAGTTGTTCAGAAAAAAACATACATGAACACAAAATGGCAATTTACAATCAAAACATTTATTAAAATTTGATAAATGGTAACAATAACAAATATGTAAACTAATTTGACAAAATATAAACTCTTTAAATTTAACAATTCAACAGTAAAATTGTGAACAAAGCAGCAACAACATTCCAAGCGAGGGGCTGTCACAATACAAGAAATACAATAACACGAACAGAGTTGACATTTTGCTCGTGATGGGCCTGTTATTTCAAAGTGCATCCAAATATCGCTTCTTCTGCAGCTACTATCCATTTTCTATAAAAATATTTAAAACTTTCCGCCAAAAATGTGGTGTTACATAAATGTTTTCCGTGTTAAAACCTACATTCCTGGTAAAAAAAAAAAAAAAAGGTCATAACAATTATATTATATAAATAATAAATACAAACAACTTTGATATTTTTCACACATTCATTTTTTATTGATGACAATCATTGTAACGCCAATAATGTTCGAGGCGGAACTCCTGTTGTCCGACGAGAGAAACACAGCTGAACAAATAACTTAATAAATAGCCAATTATATTTTTCAATCTACCTCATATAATACATGTAGAGGGTTATTATTTTTTGTCAGATGGGGCAAAAGAAACTACTTTTTTCAACCCAGTTAGAGAACGAGAGTTACGAGACGAGTCGGTGTCCTGTCCTGTTGTTTCGACTCGCTTGATGCTGAGTGAGTGAGTCAGATCAGATGAACGATTCGTTCAGAGCTGAACGACTCGAAGGGGAGCGGGAAGGGGCTGATCCAGAACCACAGTGAGTCGTTCACTGCTCGTACGGCTCGTACTAGCAGGCGCGGGCAGGCAGGAAGGAGGACGTTACGGTGAAGTAGATGGTTGTAAACAATAAGCTTTTGGTTTCTGTGCTCAAACGAGCTACAGTACACACACACACAGTCACACACGTAATATTAGAGTGTCATTCATTGTGGCTAGTAGAAAACGCAGTCTGGGGGTCGCAGTTTAGAAAGTGGTGGGCGGACGAGTTGGTGAACGAGTTAATGGAGGCTGGGAATCACGACTCCCGAGTCAGTAAAGTGAAGCTCGAGTTTTGAACGATTCGTTCACGAATCGCACATCACTAATGTGCCTCCTGTTGTGTTAACGCTGTCTTTGTGCGTGTGGTTTGCGATGCTGACACTTTGCAGAAGTCCAGTGTCATAGCAGCATAATTATGTTTCTAAAAGTTTTTTGTTCGGATTGTTCTTTTACCTCACTGTGGTCCTCCATGGTTCCTTCTTCCAACTTGTGAAGGCACGGTGAAAGCAACGTTATCAGTAGCTCATGTGAAACAAAAACATGATTCTTGCATCCTTTTTGTCCCTTATCCACCACTTGTTTTCAAGATGGCGCATTTACACGGAGAGCATTCGTCTCACACTGTAGCGTTCGAGCCACTGTAACAGCCTCTCACCAGGACAGGAAATAACCACCGGATCAGAAGTTTCAGATTGCACAAAAGATGTCTTATTTATTTGGGCAGCATGCACACAACAGGAACACCCACATAAATGGACTCTTCCCCTTTTTATACAGTGGCCCAAACCAAAACCTCCACCCGCCCAGGGACACAACAATGTAGGCCTACACTATTTACAAAATATTTACACAACTATTTACATCTTTAATTTATGCAGATATATTATAATCATAATTTATAGTAATTTGAAATTAGCGGTGGTGTTTTTACGGGAGTGGTATGTGAAGTATGTTTATATAATGTTTAGTCCAAATGAAACACCCCTCTCTCGGAGGATCATGGTGGAGCCCAGCTGATTGCTCAGTTGGGTGCACCTGGCATGCACTGGGATGGGTGCGCCTCCAGCCCAGCACCTCCACCCATCACCTTCCAAGAAAAGAGAAGGGACAAGTTAGGGACAGGGACAAATAAAGTTAAATATTTCAAAATAAAACAGGAAGGATACACCTGTGGGATGAAGAGTGGGGACTACTCCTTCACACACACGGACACTTATAAGTTCAATTCTAAGCCTATGAATACAATTGAAAAAACATGGTGGAGGTAAATATTTCTAAAAAGGTCACATTTGTTATTAGTTAACATGTTTTTTCATATGGAACAGCTGTAAAAAATGTACCATTTCATCACAGATTGTTGTACAGCTTACAAAAAGTTGCACTAATGTTAGCATAGGTATTAGAATGAAAATAAAACTAGAAATGGTACAATGGCTGAAGCCATTGTGAGTGGCTGCATAGATGTTGGAAGGGAAGAGGAAGAAGAGGAGGAAGATGAAGGAAGAAGAAAGAAGATGGGGAAAAAGGAGGAGGAAGGAGGAAGAAGAAAGAAGGAAGATGATGAAGGTGAAGAAGATGAAGAGGAAGAAGAAGAAGAAGGAAGTGGAAGAAGAAAGAAGGAAGTTGATGAAGAAGGTGAAGAAGAGGAAGAGGAAGAAGAAGAAGAAAGGAAGAGGAAGAAAGATGATGAAGAAGGTGAAGAAGATGAAGATGAAGAAGAGGAAGGAGAAGGTGAAGAAGATGAAGAATGTGTTGTAAGGTGTTGAATGTGTTGTAAGAAGAAGAGGAAGAAGTAGGGGAAGAAGAGGAAGAAGAGGAAGAAGTGGAAGAAGAGGAAGAAGGGGAAGAAGATGAAGAAGGAGATGAAGAAGAAGATGGAGAAGAAGATGAAGACGAAGGAAGAAGAAGATGAAGAAGAAGGAGGAAGAAGAAGAAGATGGAGAAGAAGATGAAGATGAAGAAGGAGGAAGAAGATGAAGAAAGAAGAATGTGTTGTAAGGTTCTGAATGTGTTGGAAAGTGCAGAGAAGAAAGAAGGAGGAAGAGGGAAGAATGTGTTTTAAGGTTGTGTGCGGACATGCCATGGTCCAGTAGCCGTCCACTAACCGGGGGTTGGAACCACTGGTGTAAACGATGTGTTGTGGAAATTCTGTACAGACCGAGAGCAAAAATAAAGTAAACAACCAAGAGTAAAACAATCAAAGTGTGAGTTTATTCATTAGTAAATGTGACATATACAATGAATAACAGAACCGATACCGATACCACCGGGCAGCACCGTCTGAGACCGTCTGTCCCGAATGACGAAATCATGAACATTATATACACCAGAGTAAACAAAGACATATCTACTCTGGATATTACAGATGAAGTCAACATTGATATGTGTCACTCAAGGCTCCTCTGTACGCTTCCTTACGCTGTTACTACTCTGATACTTGAAATAATCTGCTTTGACCTGAACATATAGTTCTATGACCCAGATGAGGTCAAAGACAAATAGGAACACGTCTCCATCTCTCAGCTGAACCTGGATGACAACTGATCATTATGGCCTGTATTTGAAACCAGAGTTGACTATTAGTTAATAACGTATTCCCATAATTATTTTTGTGTTAATTCAGATTGCCTTACTAAAAGATTTCTATAACAGATACAAATTAACATTGTAATATGTTGTATTCACATTACTTTTATTGTTATGATTATTTGTTTGTAATAAAGCCTGTTATTTGTAATGTATTAGTGTCTTACGTTCATGCTTCAATTATTGACACGCAAAAGTATTCCTATACACAAAATAATTCACACACAAATTAAGTAACGAGCAACTTTTATTGAAAAGGTTAGATTGAAGCAGTCTGCAGGAGGGGGCAGGAGTGGGAGAAGGAGGGGGCAGGAGTGGGAGAAGGAGGGGGGGGGGCAGGAGTGGGAGAAGGAGGGGGCACGAGTGGGAGAAGGAGGGGCAGGAGTGGGAGAAGGAGGGGCAGAAGGAGGGGGCAGGAGGAGTGGGAGAAGACAGGGGCAGGAGTGGGAGAAGGAGGGCGGCAGGAGTGGGAGAATGCAGGCCGGCAAGGAGTGGGAGAAGGGAGGGGTGGCCTGGAGTGGGAGAAGGAGGGGGGTCAGGAGTGGGCGAGAAGGTTGGGGGCACGAGTGGGAGAAAGAGGGGCAGGAGTGGGAGAAGTAACAGGGGCAGGAGTGGGAGAAGACGGGGGGCAGGAGTGGGAGAAGGAGGGGGCACGAGTGGGAGAAGGAGGGGGCAACGAGTGGGAGAAGGAGGGGCAGGAGTGGGACGAAGACAGGCCAGGAGTGGGAGAAGGAGGGGTAGGAGTGGGAGAGGTAGGAGGGGGCAGGAGTGGGAGAAGGAGAAGGAGGGGGGGCACGAGTGGGAGAAGGAGGGGCACGAGTGCGGAGAAAGTAGGGGGCAGGAGTTGGGGGAAGGAAGGGGCTGGGTGGGAGAAGGTGGGGGGCAGCTAAGGGGCTTATGGCGAGGAGTTCGTCTGGGGAACAGGGTGGCCCTGAAGGGGTAGGATAACAATTTTTATCCTCTGGACACTTCTGCCTCCCATGTTCAACAAGGCCCTACCTTCACGTTGTCTCCTCTCCAGAGCTCCTGTGATTCATCGTGACAATCTTGTACATCATATATACGCAGTGTTTTGAACCTCGTGTGACCATGCACCTATACTTTCACGGTTACCCGTGATGGAGAATGGATCTGCAAACTATAGAAACATCTTTAGCAATAACTCAATCTATGTGGCTATGAAGGGTAAATGCATACAAATGTGTGGCAAGTGAGTGTCATGGGGGTGTATCTGGGTGTGTTTGTGTGACAGAGAGAGGCGGTGTTTAGAGGGAGGTGTGTGTGTTTG